TTGGCCGAACATCAAATGGGAGCACACAGGATTAACGGGGGTGCACAGACAGAACCTTGACAGTTCAGTTGATTGAGGCAGGCCAACCGCATTCAGCTAGTGGGTGGGTCTTATCTCTGAGAGAGAGAGAGAGAGAGAGAGAGAGAGAGAGAGAGAGAGAGAGAGACTGTTGGGTCCGATTCGACGAACAAGCGAGGAGGTAGAGGAGAAGTAGTCGAATAAAAGTGGAAAAGGAGTAAGGGGAAGTAACCCAGAGAGAATTTGACAGACGGAAAGAATCAGTAGATGAGTAAAAACTAAGGACAGGGCGAAATTCTCACCCTTTGTACCTATTGTTATTATTTAATTGTCGGTATTGCTGACTGGGGGCTCAGAGCTTTATATCATCATTCACTAACATCTGAACCATAATCGAGCCTTGGTAGGTACCATATCTAAATAAATATTGGAAACCGGAATCCTATCGTAATCCTCCTTAAAGCAAAGTTAATATTTATTTACGATTTTTCCCTTTGGACCTTGTGCTACTGTTTGTGTTTAATTTCGACTGATGGTTTGAAAGTCCTCATATAAATTAAATGTTAAAGTTATTTCATTTTGTTCAGGGACTATGAATACATTAGCTTCCTTTCTTCTCTTCTTTAAGCAGATTGAAAAGGTACGGGAACCAAACTTACATGCCATTATCTTAATTATTGGTGCTTGTTTTTTTTTAAAAAAATAAGTTATGCTTTTACGTCCAACCCCAAACCATTGCATCCAAACTGTCGCATGTTGGGCCAAAAAGTTTTTAAAATATTATTTTGGTCTGAAATAAATATGCCGATTCTATTTTCAGGGAATAGCGACAAATGACGTCTTTAAACATTTGAAAAAGACTGTGCGAACAAGTCGCGTTCTTTGTCCATTATGTGCTGCATAATGTTATCAGAGGGTACGAATTTTGGTCAGTTTGGCTATGTGTTGTTGTTCACTAGGTGTCCGTGTTTATCACATTACGATTATTTCGGATGGAAGTGGATTATATTCCTAATGATAAATAAATCCACTAGATTAAAATTTCATACAATGGAACTACATGCTTACGATTGTCAAATGGGCATGAAAAATAGCTGACATCCTATGGAGGGTCCTGAGTAGTACTGCTAAAATACACCCCCACCCCCATCAGCTCATTTCGAAGTCGTGTGAAATTAAACGAGAAAATAGATGCTTGTAAATTTTGCATCGTGCAATGAAACTGAGCTAAAGGAAATAATATATATGTTGTCAGAAGACTTGCAATGAGGTCACTATGACCATTTATTGTAAAAAAAAGAGTAGATTACCCTGGATGCTTCTGCTCAGCTGGATTTATATATGTTCACCAGCTAAACGTGCTAGTGTATGGTGGCTGATTTGTGCGATGCTGTATTGTAACTATATCAAAGTGAAAATATTACCAGAAATTGAAGAAACAAATCAGTAGAATAACACCCCAAAGATAAAAGAAATTTTGATGACAACAGTCTTTGATGCTTTATGATTTGTTTGCATTTTATTGCATCGACACACTTCTGCTTGTAACTTCATCTTCCTATTGACATGCTCTATGTATGTAAAATAGCTGTCGTGTGGATAAGTAGATATTTCCGTTTCATTTGAGTCGTTGTTTAGTTTTTTTTTTTGAGACATATTCAAATGTTATTTATCACATCCAAATATTTTTTTTTTTAAAAAAAAGAATCATGGGCGGTACCGGATAATATCCAATGTGCATGTCAACAGGAAGGTGACAACAGATCAAAGTAATATAGCACCAACTCACCAAAGCCAACATTCACTAAGGCAGCAAAATGATTATCTTGTCCTATGGCCTAAATTGTGTACCTCTGTTACAACATGTGTGGCTATGATGCCTCTTTTTGGCACTTTGGCATGTGGGTCTTAATCATAAGTGATAACACGACGTGGCATAAATCATATATCATACCTGACAAATGGAGTTTAATCAAAAACATTTAACAGCCCTGGAGTTAATTTTTTTAATCGTTTCGTTTACCGTTTCCAAGTTTAAATTTTAGCAGTACAGCACTAAAGATGATTATTTTCTTGATTGGTGATAATGCAATAGCAGCCAAACAATAAGCTAGTAATAACCTATGAAAAATATCACACATGTAAAACGTATTTATTCACGCTGATAATATGTACCAACTTGTCGTTCATTGTTTAACATTCAATTGTATTAAAAACATTACATATATACATGAACACTATTATTAAACAAATCTCAAAAAGTGGTTAAAGTGTCATTGCTACATTTTGATGGAAAAAAAAAATAAAACTGTCAAAATCCTTTATAATATATTGGTACTTCTTGTTAAAGGGTTCAAACCATTAATTCATTTTCCGCTGACATCACTGTTGATGTTTAAGGAAACTGTGTTGCATTCTAGTTGGCACAACACACAACATGTGCACTATCTGACTGAAGCAAGTGCCAGCTTCCTGAGCAATCAAAATTGGGTGCTTCATCGCACTTTTCTGAGATAAATAAGCCTAACTTTACAAGTAAAAGCTACATTAATCAACATTCTTTGGTCAAATAGGCACATGATAATGTTGACCTGCCAAAAAATTTGAAATCGTATTATCGCAAAAACAGAATCCATTTATATCTTAAAAAAAACGATATAAATATATTCACCTTGATACTATTGCTAGTATCTCGATCTTGAAGTATTAAGTACAGTATCAAATTCCCTAATCACCACCCTCTTTCGAGACTGGAAGCCTGCTCAGTTAATAATATGTGGTCCTAAACTCTCAAAACTCACTGTTGTTATAACAATTCAGTTTAGGACAGCTGAAGTACATTTTCATTTCTGAAGTCAGAATGGTCGTATTTATAAGAAATGTAAACATGGCCTGTAATTCATGCAACACATATTTGACCTACAAAATCTATCGAAAGCAAATATGCTAAAAAAGTATGGCTTACTACTACAAAATGAGAAACACATGCCCCTTTTTTCCGAATACCTTTTGCATATAGCACACAGAAAAGCACGCAATGAATTAGAAAGGTAACAAAAACTGACAATATTATTCAAGTCAAATGGTATAAATCAAAGATGCCTGATTATCAAACTTACTAGAAAACATGCAAAATACATTTGATGAACAAGATCCAATGATTAAACTTGAAATAAAGATGAAAGTTCTGGTTTATTATATACTTCATAAATAGTCCCATTAATTTAACGTGTCAATATCGATATTGTATGGAATATACTATGGAATCCTGGTAGGGCCAATCGCTCCATCGTGTTGTATTTTACCGGGCGATGGAGCGATGAAGCGATGCGATGAAGCGATGCGATGGGGCGATGGAGCGATGAAGCGATGCGATGGAGCGATGGAGCGATGTGATGGAGCGATGGTAATTTCATCGCTCCATCGCATCGCTTCATCGCTCCTTCGGGGATGAAAATAAACTACAAATCATACGTCACTAGATTACCTTATATATATATAAATATATATATATATATATATATATATATATATATATATATATATATATATATAGATAGATAGATAGAGAGATATATAGATAGATATAGATATATAGATAGATAGATAGATAGATAGATAGATAGATAGATAGATAGATAGATAGATAGATAGATAGATAGAGAGAGAGATAAAATCTCACGTAATTGCTTTTCTTCCTAGAAATAGAAATTCATTTGGAAGCATATTTAACTTCCAGGGGATATGAATAAATTAAGTTCTTGTGATGATCAGTAGGAATTGTTTTTCTCACCTTTCTGACCAACACACACACACACGTACGCACGCACGTAGATATGATAGTTAAGTAATTTGTTGGTAAACGTAAACCATGAATATGTAGTGAACTTTAAGGCGGAAAGGAGGATAGCTGCAAAGTTCTTGGATATCGAATAATGTAACGGAGGCTGTATTTTCGACATAGAATATTCAGTGTGAGTTAAATGTTAAAACATCACAGTAATATTTCTTGTATTTATTTCAAATTAAAAGTCTATATCAAATACGTATAAATCTTTTAAGTTTTAGTACTGCATTACAATATTGACAATTCCATGAAGGCAATAATGATTTTGAAAATTTGCGTCTTAAGGTGGCGTTCCATAGTGAGATATAGGTAATGTATGATTGGTTAGGAAAATCATTTAATCCAATTCAACACAGAATGCATTAGATCATGCTACTCAAAACGTGTCAAATTCTTTGAACAAAATATTAGGTATGAATATTTTTTTGTTGCATGAACGCTGTGCTCAGATTGCTGTTGGATCATCATTTATCATCAAGGTACATACACTAGAGCAAGATATTGTAGACAATCAAACACTGCATTAACAAAACTATGAAAAATAAAGTAAACCTAAATTGAATTGTTTATAAAACAAAACTGTTACATTGCACTAACACAAGGAAGCCAAGATCTGTCTGAAAAGAGACAAAATCTTACGTAATTACTTTTCTTCCTGTATATATATATATATATATATATATATATATATATATATATATATATATATATATATATATATATATATATATATATATATATATATATATATATATATATATATATATATATGCTAATCTAGTGACGTATGATTTGTAGTTTATTTTCATCCGCGATGGAGCGATGAAGCGATGCGATGGAGCGATGAAATTACCATCGCTCCATCATATCGCTTCATCGCTCCATCGCATCGCTCCATCGCATCGCTTCATCGCTCCATCGCATCGCTCCATCGCCCCATCGCATCGCTTCATCGCTCCATCGCATCGCTTCATCGCTCCATCGCCCGATAAAATACAACACGATGGAGCGATGGAGCGATTGGCCCTAACAGGATTCCATAGTAATATTGACCTGGTTTTAAAAAATAAAATATGGTCACTTTCTTAAATTGTTATAACGCGTTCGAAGAACTATTTTTGTCTACGTCGAAGCCGCTCTGGTGGCCTAAGTGGTTAGAGCGTCCGCCTTACGTGCCAGAGGTCGCGGGTTCGAACCCCGGTTTTGTAATACTAAAGACATAAAAAATGGTACTAGCTGCTGCCTTGCTTGGCGCTCAGCATTAAGATTTTAGTGTTAGGACAGGTCGGCCTAGTTTCTTGATAATGTGAACTGGTGGGTCATGATGCCCCAGTGTTAAACATCACTATACACTGTTACACTGCAGATATCGTAGCAATATGAGTGAAAAAAAGTGTCAAAGCTGCATTAAAAATCCAAATCACATACGTCTAGGTCGAAAGAAGCGTGTCAACGAACGCCGAATGCGTTCAAAAGTTTGACGTTTTCCACTGATTTAGTCCAGAAAAGATAGGTTTGTGTATTCAACTGTTTGAGGAAGAGGCAAAGATTGAGGCAAGAGATCTACAAATAAATCCATGTGACATGAAAACTTTTATATAAAATCAGAAAAAGCACAAAACCATAACACGGCGAGGCAACAAGATATAAAAAATGTTCATCTATAGTTGTGGAATGTGATGAGAGCCTACTCCCAGATCTATTGAATGACTATCTTAGTGAACTTGTAGTTTCTATACGCAAATGTGAAGGCTAGATATAACTCTCGTCCAAATTTAAATTAAAAAGAATATATATATATATATATATATATATATATATATATATATATATATATATATATATATATATATATATATATATATATATATATATATATATTACCCACCACAAAAATTAAATAAAGAAACGATGAATATGTCTACACACAAACACATAAGGTTTTAAAATTTAAAAAAAATACAGAGAGAGAGAGAGAGAGAGAGAGAGAGAGAGAGAGAGAGAGAGAGAGAGAGAGAGAGAGAGAGAGAGAGAGAGAGAGAGAGAGAGAGAGAGAGCGTTATACTAACCTTTGAAGCATGAGCATGTTCTGTTTCACGTAAACGGTGCACTTTTATTCACTCTGAATAACATTGTTTTATACCATACTTAGAATCTGGTGAAAGACAGCGACTTAAAAAAAAATTTCGATCCTTATTTTATGGTGCTGCTCAGGACCGATTGTTTATAGTATCTTGGGGACGTTGATGGAGGTTGCTGGTGAAAATATAGGACTTAAGAGTAGAATCGTATATCATTCCGTCAGGAAGACAATAGTTAACCACACTCTCAAAAGCCATTGTGTCACCTAATAAAATCATACAGATCACTGGACAGCTAAACATTGCATCAGTTGTTTCTCGTGTCAATATTAAGTTGCTTTTCTTTGGCTACATAATATTTCCATTCTATTTAGCAAGTTAATTTTTTTTTGTTAAATGCCTACTCGCCTCACGGTAGTAAAATGGTGTCTTATTTCGCGGTGCTAAGATTTCATACATAAATTGAAGAACTCGTATAATATGAGATGAAACAAAATATTTTTTGAAACATATATTATTTCTTTACAAGAACACAATGAATAATACGATTGTTTGTAAATAAATAATAAAATGATTATTGACTGAGTATTCAAAAATATTGGACTCTTTTTCATGTGCCGTATAATACCCTAGTAAACTCGGACATCCTTTGCCACATGAACTATAACCAATACATATTTAACATAAAAGAATATATACTGTTTTTAATCTTTAAGCGTCCAGGCAAACCAAAACATCAAAGCAGTGTAAAGATTTATGTACATTTTTTTTTACATAGAAAAAGACATGTAGCGGAAGAGTGTCAGCAGCAGAATAAGTGTTTACAGACTTACCAAATCTGCATATTTGGAAGCTTGCAGGGCTGATTTATGGCAGTTCGAAAATCAATAATGATATTTCGTGGTGTTGAATGTTTTACGTAGGAGGTTCTTGCAATTTGTTAAATTTATATATAATATGCTATTTGTTATTGTTCATTAAAAGACAAGTCTCAAACATGTCACCTTATGTCACATCTCTCCCAGAGTTTGAAATTTATTGCTAATTTCAATTAACAAGTGACGTCATATCATTGATGAAATAATGCTATAATAACGTAATGTCTAGCTGCGCAGCAAGCAATTTTTCAAAAAAGACTCCTTTTAATAAAACCTAGTTTGCGGGATATGTCATTTTTTGATAAACTAATAATATGAACAAGTAGGTTCAGATAATAGTGATTTTACTGTGTTTAATCAATACTGAATCCTGCCTGTCTAATAAAATAAAGTATACTGAGAAATTTCTGCATGATTTGATTTTCACAATCGGATTACAAATGTTACATATGTTTTATTAATGTCATCTAATAATTCATCATACAGTTTTATTATAACTCATCTGTATCATCTAAAATTCATCATATAGTTTTATTATAAGTCATTTGGGTTTATGACATTTATATTTTAATTCTAATAATACAGTGACTGTGTAGCACTAGAGTAGGCAACTTATTCATAAGACAAGGCCGATCGTTAAGGTCAAATCAACAACAATGTTGGTCAAGGATGTCCCGTTTCGAATGGAGGTCACAAAACATCACATGACCTTAGGATTGCATTTTGTTTGTTTGAGCCATCATGCCAACCCCAGCTGTTGATTGGTTCAATACTCTGAGAAGGTCATGACATGGACTGTTTCAGGTTGGGGGGTTGAAGGAGGTTGTTTTTTCTTTCTTAAACAATACGATCTAATTGTTCTAGGATATTTTTGTGATTCTGATTTTTTTATTTGATACTCATAAGATGACAACGTATAGACATTACGTACTTAGTATGCTATTCTTCGGGTATAGTGAGTTTGGTAAGAGTGGTTGAGAATGGTAATGCATTTGCTTGTTTGATCTAACAAAGTAGAAAGTCTGTAAGTTAGTCAATTCTTAAACAATTTAGAAGCTTCATCCGGAATACCTTTGAACAGGTTCCAGATTAGTGAGAAATTGACCTTAATTTGGGATAATATTCTACGAATTCATTTACTGTTATTTTTAATTCTTTCACTTTGTTTCATTTTATATTTTATTTAAATAAACTCATATTTTGGAAAATCGAATGTTTATTTGGTTTACCTTGTCTTTTACTTAAGTTTAAGACCCTAGACACGCATCATTTTTCAATAGCTAGGCTTACGTAGTATTTTAGTACTTTAACAATATGTAAACCATTGACCTACAGTACAAATTTTGTATTATGTCGATGTTACCTATTTGACAATAAATGGAGAAACAAATTATCTCCAAAGATTAAATGAATAATTAATGCGCATATTTTTTTCTCAAAATCGAACTCGTCCAAGATTCTGATCATATAAACATATTTATATAGCTTTATCAAAACTGGACGAGAAAAAATCTAAAACAACATCTGGTTATCATATGCAAGACAATCGCCTCTCATTAATATAAGCCGACCTTATTAATTTACAAACTGTAAAACAATAATGCAGTTATAAGGTTCTTTACCAGCTGTAGCAAAATCTCATTAAAATCAAGTCTCCAGTTTTAAAAGCCTCAACCAATCAGATATGAGATTATTTTATCAATATGGACATACTTTGCCAATGATACAAATTCCTCTGACATCCATTAAAAACAAAACTACTGAACAAATTTTACCAGAATCTGATCAGAAATAATAAGATTATGGAATACTGACAAATGTAGACAATCAAATGCAAGATCATGTCGTTTAAATGAATTGATATCAGACATGGTTATGCAAAACAGAGAAACAGAGATTTTAATAACACAAATCTGACGAAAATTATATCAAACAACAGCTTTGAGAGTGATAATAAATTCTGACATGCCGATCAAAATCAAGATCAACTCATAAATATGCATGGGTTTCGCTCACAAAAATCATCGGTATTTTAATATTATTAGCATATTTATCTTAAGTCTGCTTGAATTTAGGTGTCAGAAACACCTCATCTGGAGTGGAGTGAAGCCCAGCCAATCAGATGCAGTATTACTTTATTACAATGAATAGATCTTACCCACAAAAAACCTCTTTGGATATCTTGATGACATAAGCCTATTAAATGTGATACAAATCTGATCAGAAATTGATACGCTAAAGTGGTGACAAGCTCAACCAATCAGATGCAAGATCATCTCATTAATATTGAGTGAGTATCGTTCATCACCGCACCCATTTAAGATCGTAATGGTTTGTGTCTTTTTACCAAGTTTAATCAAACATCGAATGAGAAATAGACACAAGAATGGTAAGACATGCAGTCAATCAGAGGTAATATTACCTTTTGATAGGCCTGGAACCAGCCCTGTTTATCTAAGACTATATTCAAAATCTGATGAAAATCAGATAAGAACCATGGTTAGCATAGAGATGTAAAATCACTTCAAGCATGCCTGAATCTCACTCATTATCAAATTGATCTGAGAATTTAGTGATTCGATGGCATATTTCCAGTACCATTAAAATCAAATAAAAATTATGGGTAAAACAAGCTTAGCAAATAAGACTCAAGATGACCTCATTAACATTGTAATAAAATTAAGGAGATGCGCATTTAGTTTAAGCATTTTGTAGATTTGTGTGATTACATGTTTGATTATTGGAATTCAGTGCAGTGGGAAATATTCCTTAGCACGAAATAACTAGTCAATTATTAGGAGCAAACGTCACGGAGAGAAAGTATTGGTGAGTTTCTAAGATGCCATGGCGAATGAGTAGCGAACTCAGACCCAATCCGCATGACTGTCCCTGTCGTGATATAGCACATTATAAAAACTACTATAATAAACATCGGTGTTGTGACTGCAGCGGCAGTATTTATGGTAGTAAACCGGTAAATTACACAATGATATAAATGAGAAAGGACTCGGAAGATACCGTTTATGTTACCATAGTGGCAAATGTGATGTAGGTTTACTGGTGTGATGTGCCTTGAAACGGTAGATCGACTGGCCTCAGATGGGCAGTTAAAATAGTCCCCCGTGTTAGGGATATTTGTATAGTTTCTACGGTGTGAATTACAAGCGGAACGGAAAGTTAATATAGAGAAACTGTGGTGATGTGCGGTTGATGGCTAATTTGCAAGTTGTAAATAATGTGGTCTTGTATTGATTATTTTAA